TCTCATTTTGGTATTTGGCTAGAGAGCGCATTAAATTACTACGTAGAAGTTATCTTTGGTTTGGAAATCCTTTCTTGGTCTTCGACTATGTCACTCACAGATTAACTACAAGTCAGAAAGGGGAGGGAGTGGGCTGAAGATGTGGCTCAGTGGCAGAGTGCCTGCCTAGAATGCATAGCATGCACAGGACCCTGGGTTCTGAGTTTGATACCTAGCACCATAAAGAGAGAAAGAGAGAGGGAAAGAAATGAGAGGGAGTTTAGCAGCCAAATTGTCTGACTTTCTTACTTCACGAGGAGATGAAGCAATATGACCTATGATGATAAAGGGGCCATCCCCATCCCCATCCCCATCAAGGGAAGATGGCTTTGCAATGAGAATAATCAAGTTTTGGAGAGAGACACATTTAACTCCAGGTTCTACAATGTACTCGCTGTATACTCTTGGGCAAAGAAGTAACCTCTGTACCTCCATTTACTCAACTGTAAAATTTGGTTTTTCTACGATCCATCACCCAAAACTCCTAGTTAAGGACAGCTGCTGCATCATCATACTGGCTTCCCCTCCACTCAAAGTTCAGGGGCGGGAAGGAGATACTTACTGGACACACTCATTCGCTCGACCCTTGTTCTGATACTCCACGATACAGCGGATCAGCTGGTCATTCTCCTCCAGGAGCTGAAAGATCAGAAGAAAAGTCAGAGCAGTGTGACGTCAGGACGGCGGCGAAGCCTGCGCCGCCCCCCACCCTCCAAGCCAGGATGTCTTGCTGCGGTGCCTTAGACGATTTAGTTCCCATCCTACTCCACACCCCAGGCAGGTCAGCTCGCTAGGTGGACACAGGTCTCAACCAGGGTCGGGTCACTCCAGGAAGTTCTCCTCACCACCCAGTCCCTCTGGATCTCCACTCCTCTCAGCCCATGTAGACATTCACCTGCTGGATAGTCTCTTGATTGACTTCCGCCTTGCCCCTCATCCAGTCAGGTACAAAGGCCACCGACATCGCTGGGGGCCCGGGTCGGCACCCCACCTCGGAAAAAGACGCCCACCGTGCGTTCAGATAGACGCTGTCTCCGCGCGGAAGTGCCCAGGGCGGGCGGAGCTACCCTCTTTCCCTTGACTGGGTCCTCCAGCCTGTGAGGCGGGACCACGAGGGACGTCACTTGTGATTGGACGCAAGGCCCACGATGGGCGGGGCTATGATATTGACGTTGATTGGGCCCTCCTGCTTGGGGCGGAAGAGACGTCACTTGTGATTGGACGCGCGAGACCTCCTCTACGGTCCCCGCCTCTACGGCCCTGGAGCGGTTTGTGCTTGCTGGGACGGTGGTGACCTTCCTTATCTTCAGCTACTGGAGTTTTGAGCTCTGGGTGTGTAGTCTGCATGGGCCGATGTATCTGGTTCACTCAAGATTCGTGGCTTAAACCCATATAAAAGGCTCCAAGTAGCCAATATGGCCCTTTCGATATTGCTTTGGTGCCTCTGGAGCGTGAACCATGGGTATAGCAGGGCCAGGAAGATACCGGTGTTGCTTTTACTTTTTGCTGAGGAGAAACTCTCGCATATAACTATATTTCCCCCGGTCACTAGTAATGCTTATTATATTTACAACGCTAAAAAGCACCAGTATTTTCTCCATTTCACAGATTAGAAAACAGGTTAAGTAACTTGCTCAAAGTTCTTAGTTACTAATGGCCAAGTCTGTGTCTGAACACAGGCAATCTGGCTTTAGAACTCCCGTTTTTAACTACTACCCCGTACTGCCCATGCAGCATACTGTGAGGGTGTTTTGCTGCAAGATTCAACGAGGAACCTGGGCCTACCCTCCTGTGCCATGTAGCTGCTTTAAGTGACCACTAAAACTTTGAACTGATTGTATCTAGCCCATCCTTGGTGGACATGCTAACAAAGTTGGTTTTCCCTGAAGCACACAGACGGCCATGGGCACTGCATTTAGGAGGGAGATCTTAGGAGCTTATACTCCTCCAAGGGGGAACTTTCTAGAGCTCCATTTCTCTGAGTGGCTTTGCTGGGCTCTCCCTACAGAATCCTTGCATTCGACCTGTTTTTTTTTTTTTTTTTGGTGGGCACAATATTTTTATTTTATTATTATTTTATTTTTATGTGGTGCTGAGGATCGAACCCAGTGCCTCAAGCATGCTAGGTGAGTGCTCTACCAGTGAGCCACAATCCCAGCCCCTCGACCTGTTTTAAGAGTCGGCTTTCATCTCATTTCGCAGTGAGGTAAATTCAATGAGAAGTAGGATAATATACTTGAGCTGGGGCAAAATTAAGGGCTTCCTGGTTCCCAAGCCTGCACTATTACCCCTATATCAAGATCTCGCCTAAGGAAATTTCCCCAAAGATTGTACAGAACAGAGTGGGCAGGGAAAGACCCATTAGAGCAGGATGCACACCTTGCATAGTCCTGCTCAGCCTTATTCCTATTTAGACAAGTGAGGAATGATAATAACATGAGATGGTGTTAATATGGGACAGGTGCAGGGAACCAACCTGATCCAGCATACAGGGAACACCCTCCAGGAGAAGAGATGTCTTACTATGAAGAAGTGGAAATTACGCAGGTGGCAGGAGTCTAGCATCTGGACTCTTTTAGGAGTAATTGGAGCCTGAAGAGTGATGAAGTCAGAGATGTATCTCGGAATTTTCCTGGCTATAATATGGTAAAAGGTAGGTCGGGAAGCCAGATGAGAAACAAAAAGAGCAGTGAGAAGTGGTGTGCAGGCCAGTGATTGAATGGGAAGGGAAATTAAGGATAGCTCCATGAGTTTGGGCTTTGGCAACTAAAAGACTAGTGATGCCATTAGTGGAGGAGAAGGTGGACTGGAAGTGAGGGTGATACATTCAGTACAGTAGAAATGTATTGTTTGGAGTGACGTCATACAGAGATGTTGAAGTTCATAGTTAGCTATTTGGGTCTGGAACTCAGGGACAAGGGTTTGGATAGAGATATAGCTTTGAGAAACATCAACTGTGGGGATTGACTGGAACCATGTAGTGGATGGATAAGACTGCCCAAGGAGAGTGTGCTGATTTCCCTCATGGCAAAGGAAAAGAAACTGCAATAGAAACTGAGTGGAGAAAGAGATTAAAACCAGAGGAGTGTAGGGTCATAGAATTTAAGGATAAAAGAGCAATTGAGAAGGAGAGAGATTATCAGTGATAAATGTTGAAAAGTCAAGCAAGATTAAGACTAGATCCTTGATGTCCTTGATGAGGGCAGTATAAGTAAAGAGGTAAGGCAGAAATCAAAACTGAAGGGGACTGAGAAATGATGGGAAAGATAAAGCAATGGAATGTTCAAACATAGACCACTTTTTCTAAGAGATTTGGCTATTAAGGGATCAAGGAAAGAAGATGGTAGCTGGAGGGAAGCAGAGTCCTTGGGAGCTGACAGATATCACGTTGATGTTTGCTCTTTCTTCAGTGTAGGAGGCACCTAGGAGAACAAAGAGGGGGTGAGGAATGGGAGATCTGGGGGCATACAGGAGATTTGGAATTTGGTGTTGGGGAGAACTAAGAAAGAGCAGACCTGTCAAACCTAGAACTGCTGGATGGCTCAGAGGATCTAGTTGAGGTTGGCAGTCTATTTAACACTGTGATTTCTGTGGTTGTAAGATTTAGTCCAACAGCATTGACAGCAAGGAGAAGGCTCAGAGAAGACAGAAGGTTGTCTGGAAAGGTGGAGCACCACCAGACAGGTGGAGCACTGCCAGGCAGGTGTGACCATGTAAGGGATGTAAGTATATTGAGAAGAATGTTATGGAATGATGGACCCTGGACTCTTAGCTGATGGGGAAGGAAGTGAAAACTAAAAGGAGTTGATAAATAGAACAAAGTAGAGAGACAACTGGACTGGAAGTTTCCACAGACCAGAGAACAGTAGGAGGAATTCAGAGATTAGCTGGAGGACAGGTCAGAGATCAGTGTCTGAAGTTATACATAATTAGAGATGGAGGTTTTTTTTGTTTTTTGTTTTTATAGTACTGGAGAGTGAACCCAGGGCTTTGCACATGCTAGGCAAACTCTCTACCACTGAGCTGTGTCCCAACCCTTTTTTTTTTTAATTTATTTTTTAGGTGTAGATGGACACAACACAATACCTTTATTTTTATGTGGTGCTGAGGATTGAACCCGGGCCCCGCCCGTGCTAGACACGCACTCTACTGCTGAGCCACAATCCCAGCCCTTCCCTTTTTATTTTGAGACAGGGTCTTGCTAAGTTGCCTCAAACTTGTGATCCTCCTGCCTCAGCTTCCCTTAGCCAGGATTACAGGTGTGCACCACTTGCCCCACAAGATGGAGTACCTCTGTGGTGATACAGAGGTCCTCGGAAGAGAGGGCTGAAGAGGCTTTGGAAGGGAAAGCCTATGGAGATGACAATGGCCTGGAGCCAAAGTGACCAATTACTCGAGATAAGGGCTAGAACCAGAGCTACTACATTTTACTGCTCTTTGTCCAAATCGCTGGTGTCTGGGCCACACCAGCTGCACCAGTCAAAAGTATAAGGGCCTATTCTAGAGTAATCACATCACAGGTTCTAAGCCCAAAGCTCCACATTTGAAAGCTTCAGAATTTTGTAGGTCCAGCACCTGTTTTCTCTCCTTATCTAGCCCTGGCATGTTCAATTTAGTCTCCTCCCCAACTCTGAATCACCTGTTTTTTTTTTTTTTTCTCCTTTGTGCCTGTTATAACTTAGCCCCATTATCACATGGTCCAGTTCTGACTCATTGTGGGAGGGGACTACACAGGAGGCAGTGATATCTGGAGCCCATCTTGGACTCTTAACACAAGTCTCTTCTGTTTCTATTTTGTAATTTGTCTCTCTGTAAGCTCTGTTTCCATTTCTACCCATGTGATAATGACTTTCGGAAGTCTATGTTCAGCTCAGACCTCTACACTGAACCTGTCTATCCAACTGCTATGTTGACACCTCTACTGGGGGTTCTCCAGAGGAACAGAATTAGTGGGCTATATATAGCTATAGGACAGGGATTTATTAGGCAAATTGTCACCCATAATTATGGAGGTGGAGAAATCCCATATAGAAATCCCATCTATAAGATGTAGAACTAAGGAAGCCAGTAGTGTGGTTCAGTCAAGTCTATTTTGACTTGGACTTGGCCTTGAGTCAGGGAGAATGTTATTGTGTAATTCCTGGTCTGAGGCTGCAGTCCTGAGAAATTGAGGAGTCACTAATGAAACTACCAGAGTTAAAAGGCTGGAAAACCTGGAATTTTGATGCCAAAGGCAGGAGAAAAAATGATGTCTCAGTTCTGGAGGAGAGAGAGTGAATTTCTCTTTCCTTTGTCTTTTTGTTTTATCCAGCCTCTCAGCTGATTAGATGGTGCCCATCCACATTGAGTGAGGACAGATCTTCCTCATTCTTTCCAGTAATTAAAATGTCAGTCTCTTCTGGAAACACTTTATAGACATATACATAAATAAAGTTTTACCACTTTTTTGGGGGTATGTCTTAATTCAGTCAAGGTGACGTTCAAAATCAGCATCACAATATTCTACAAAGACGTCTCAAAGGTACCTGAAATTCAGCTTGTCTAAGACAGAGATTGTAATCAGTGTTCTTTTCCAAACCAGACTTCCTTCCAGCATTCTCCATATCTGTGAATGTCTCCACTATTCATCCCTCTCTCCAAGGCTGAACAGTGGCATCATTCTTGAATCTACCTTATCCATCCTTCACATCCAGTTGGTCACCAAGGCCTGATGATTATGTTCTTCATTTCTCTGCAGTCTGCTCTGTTCTCTTCCTCTTCACCAGCATCCCATTTCACACTCCAACTCCATCCTTTCTTGCCCAGATGACTGAGGTTAGTTCCACCACAGCTTCATTGAGCCGTCTCTATTTTAATCTTAACTTTAGCAGCCAAAAGTGATTTTTTACGAAATGCAAATGTGGTTTTCTGCTATTCAAAACTTTCCACTGTGGCCTGTGAAAAGGGCCCCATGGTTCAGCTCCTTCTATTCTCTCTAATGGCTCTCATTCCTCTCCTTTACTCTGTACACTTTGGATGTCTTTTCTTGTTTTTTTTTGGGGGGGGAGTAGGGAAAAGGGATGTTAAATATACATAACATACATTTTGCTATTCAGTAAAGTTCTATGGCATTTAACATTTACCTTGTTGTGCAACCATCACCACTATCCATTTTCAGAGCTTTTTCATCTTTCCCAAATAAAATTCTGTACTATTAAACACTAAATCCCCATTATCCCCTCTCCAGGTTTTTTTCTCTCTCTCAAATTTGAGGAGCTCTCTTGCCTTCTACATAGATTTCTTTATACATGCTGATCTCTCATTCTGAAACACACTTCCTCTCTGCCTAGGGACTACTACTATTTCCGCTCTCCTTTGCCTAGTTACTGCTTGCTACTCGGGGAATCCTCCTGAGTCTAGGTTAGAAGTGCCTGCAAATCCCCCACCCCACCCCAAATCCTGCTCCTGTCAGCTGAGTAATTTGTATATATGCAGGTTTTAATTGTTTTGTGCTCTCACCTATCTAGTCATCCACGGGTGTCTCCGCCCCCATCTGGGGTGTGCCGCTCAGGGGTCGGACTTTGGCACCTCCTCCAGGCTGGCAGTGGGCCGTGTTCTTCGGTTTGCCTATCTCGGGCCTCCCGCCCAGCCGCGCAGACCGCATAACCCACGCCCGGGAGAGTCGCTCAGTCAGGCAGAGCCTTCCAGCCTCCAGACGTCGGTCTTGTCCGCTACCCGGCAGAATTCGAGCTTAGACCACGAAGCCTCCTCGCACCTTCAGAGGCGAGATTTGGACCTCAAACCCGCGAGGGTGAGAGTCAGGAGATGGGAAGAGAGTTGGGAAACGCGCGCTCCAGTCACGCCCCCTCAGCATTTGGGTCTCAGCCCTTTAAGAACGGTTCAATTCCGGACTCTGCAGGGACTGGGCAGTGAAGGCGCGCCAGGATTGGTCTGTTTGGGTGCGGGTGTCGCCTAGCAGTAGCGAATGGGAACTCGTGGATGGCGCGTGCGCACCACTGCCTACCTGCGCCCGGGCCACCGGTGTCCTGCGCCGGGTCCTCCCGATGGGCTAAGGTTGCCGAGGAGGCGGCGGGCGGCGCGGCCAAACTGTGGTGGGCGCCGACTTCTGAAGGCCGCCGTCGGGGCGAGGTGAGGGCCGCCGGCGGAGGCGGGCGCGAGGTCCGTTAGCCGAAAACAGGCGGGGTCGGGTGTGGCGCAGGGCGGGCCTGGAGGTGGAGGCGGCCCGGGCTCGCCCCGCCCTCTCTCTGGCTAGACCCGTAGGGCTCCGTGGGGCCCTTGGGGTTTCCCGAGTCCTTGGTCCCCTTTCTCCCGCCAGCGGATCTCTGGACCCCGTACAAATCCTGGCGCTCGCCTGAGGGTGTCTTCGACTGACAGATGCGCGCCCAGCCCTGCCCTCAGTGGGAGGAGTATCCTAGGAGAGGGAGGAGACGATTGTTTCCTTAAGTATCCACAAAGCTTATGCCCAGACTATTGGCTACTCGAATAGCAGACTTCCCCTTAGCGTGTCTTTAGAGTTGCACTACCAAATGCTGAATACCCTGGACCAACTTTTCGGAACATCAGGTGTAGGATGTTTCATTTCAGGTTTTGTGTCCATTACTTAGACCTCCAGAGCCAGAAAATTAGAGCGTTCCAGAGAAGCATTAGGTTTGGAGAAATCAAAGCCACGAAGGAATATCCCCGATGGTGAAACTAATGGGTGAAATTTGTGACATTATCAGGGAAAAAAAAAAATCACAATTTAGAACAATGGATAGGGTAAATCTTAATTTTTTTTATTGGTGCGTTATAGTTGTGCATACTGATGGGATGTGTTACATATTCTTATATGCACACAATAGAATCTTAAGTTTTGCAAAGAATTGATTCTATTAAAGAAAATTTTAGTAAAATAAAATGAAAATAGTTGGAAGTGGTTTAACATCGCTAAATAAAATTAAACTGGCAGTAGTTTCCTCAGGAAAATATTTGTAAACAATGTTGTTAAACATCTAATTTAATTGTATTTACGACATAGAGGACGTCTTGAGGTCCCATTGTTTTTTAGTCCTAGAAGGAATTTAGAGATCAGCTGTATCCAAAAGATGACTAATGGTCAGAAGAATACTGACTAAGGGAATCTAGTGGGTAAGGGCAGTTCTTAATAAGTGTAATTTTAGGCTCCTTTCCTGCCAACAAGTATCACTGATTGTTGTTGTTGAGGTGTGTGTGTGTGTGTGTGTGTGTGTGTGTGTGTGTTTTGATGCTCTAGGAGAAAGAATTATTTAGAGAAATGGAGTAGCTAAATTGGATTTAGAGAGGCAGGATGTGATGGAAAGATCATATGAGGCAAGTTTGAGTTTGAATCCTAGTTCTACCTCTTAAGCCTGAGAGCTGAGTTTTCCCACATGTCCAGTATAGTTTATGCCTGTATCATAGATAGTTATGAGCAGTTAATAATATTATCAATATAAAAAAGTTCCTAGCACAGTGCCTGGCATATGCAGTTGTACCTCAGTATCCTCAGAGGATTGTGCTCAATACCCTTATATAAAATGGCATATACAGTGTGTACAATTTATACACATTGTCCTGTATACTTCAAAATCATCTCTAGATTTCTTACATAAAATAATAAAACACTATGTTATATAGTACCATTTAGGGAATAATGACAGGAAGAAAAGTCTGTAAATGTTTAGTATACATGCAGTTTTTCATAATATTTTGCATCTGAGGTTGGTTGATCTGCTGAATTGGTACCCATGGATACAGAAGGATGACTATAATATTAATTCCTATCAAGTTCAGTTTCATACTCTTCTAAGTTCTTAATAAGTATCATAATTGACCTCTATTTTCCTCTCCATCCCATCTCCAAGTTACCCAGAGGATCTACAAATTAGGTGACCAGTATCCCAGTCCTGTGGCTATAGGAGAATCCATTTGGGGGTGACACAATTGAAGTTTTGTCTTCTATATGATATATTTGAAGAGTGGGAGATACACCTTATGGTAAATAATTTTAACAAATTTGTGTGCCAAATTAAACTTATTTTTCTAGTTTAAATTTCTATTTTGCAGTGCCCAGTCATCTCTCACAGCCCCTCTCCCTGTATGTGGTAGGGATTTAGGGGTAGGATTTTAGGGCAAAAAAAGGAGTGGGAATAACAGGAACAAGAGTGGCATAAAGTTCTTACTGGTACAATAGGGATAATCTATGAATAGATGATTAGAAGTGGTAGAGAAAATGCTAGAGGCAGATTAAAATACAAAACCTAGTAATATGGAAAAACACATATGGATGCTGTGTATTTGATTACTACTTCACATTTCTACCTAAACAGAATTCCATCTGTATAAACCTTTCTTGTTTTCTAAGTAGAAGATTTATTGTGGGAAAGTGTTCAAAATATAGTTCAGAATTATGGCAAGGGATGTGCACACCTACATTTCTTGTATCAGTGAACAAAAATTAGACAGCCTTCTCATTCACTCATTTGCTTAGTTGTTTTGTCCTTACAGAATTTATACTATTCTTTCTATAATTGTGACCTGATTTTCCAGATTCATACCATTGCTTTCCTGTTTTAAATTCAGTACTAATTATCTTCAAGCAGCTTTATTTTATAATATCAAGTACTGATATTATATTATCTTCCAGTTTGAAAATGTCCTATAGTCTTAGAGCTGTTCATTATAAAGCACACCCTTCAATATCCATTCACAATCAGAACTACAGTGAATTAGTGGTTAAGACAATTATGATATTGGTGGAAATATTTTAAAATGATATATAAACAAAAATGAAGTATGAGCATTATTTGAGTGGCACATGAAGGACCTTAAGTTAATTCTGTTTTTTAACTTTTATTTATTTATTAACTTATTTACTTTTTGTGTTGCTGGGGATCAAATGTAGGGCCTCATGCTTGTCAGGCAAGAGCTCTACCACTGAGCCACATCCCCAGTCCTCAACCTTTATTTTAAAATAATTATAATCACAGGAAGTTACAAAGATAGTGCAGAGAGGTCCCAGACCCTTCACCTAATTTCCCACATTGGGTGCATTTTATATAACTATAGTACACCATCAACTCCAAGAAATTGACTTCAGTATAAAGTATATATATCACACTATGCCATCTTATTATGTATTAATGCCTGTAATCACCACCACAATCCAGATACCAAATTATTCTGTCATCACAAAGATTATCCTTTTGCCATCCCATCATAGTCACGCTCATTCCCATCCTCCTCACCATCCTGTTCTCCATCCATGATTCTGTCATTTTTAGAATGTTACATAAAAGGATTCATGTACTATGTCATCTTTGATGTTGACCTTTTTCAATCAGCACAATGCTCTTGAGATCCATTCTAGTTGTATCAAAAATTAATTCTCTTTTATTGCTGCATAGCATTTTTCATGGTATGAATGTACTATGATTTAACCATTCACAATTTGTAGGGCATTTTGTTCAATTTCAGTTTTTGATTGCTACAAATAAAGCTGTAATGAGCAGTTATGCTCAGGTTTTTATGTAGGGGACATAAGTTTTTATTTCTCTGGGATAAATGCCAGAAGTGGAATTGTAGTGACATCCCTTATTTTATTCCTGACATTGATAATTTGGTTTTTCTTATTTTCTTGTTGTCAGTTTTGGTAGAGGTTTGTTAATTTTATTGATCTTTCCAAAGGGTCAGCTTTTTGTTTCATGGATTTTCTCTGTTTTTCTGTTTTCATTTTCATCTCTATTGTTTCCTTCCTTCCTTCCTGCTTTGGATTTGTTTTCTAATTTCTTGACATGTGAGCTTAACCTATTGTTTTGAGACTTTTTTTTTTTTTCTGTTATAAGCATTTAGTACTGTAGATTCTTCTCTCAGTATTGCTTTAGCTGTGAACCACAAAATTTGATATATTTCCATTATTATCCAGCTTTATAAAAGGGGGGAGTACTGGGAATTGAACCAAGGGACACTGTTATGGTTTGGATATTAGGTGTCCCCTTATCTCATGTGTGAGACAAGGCAAGAACATCAAAGGTGAAATAATTGAATTATGAGAGTCTTGACCCAATCAGTGAACTAATCCCCTGATTGAAATTAACTGAGTAGTATTTATAGGCTGATAGGATATGACTGGAGGAGATATGCTTTGGCAGCATGCATTTGGGGTATATAATTTGTATCTGGTGAATGGAGTCTCTCTCTGCTTCTTGGCCATGTCCTGGGTCACTTCCCTTCACCACACTGTTCCGCCATGATGTTCTGCCTCACCTTGAGCCCTGAGGAATGGGGCTGGCTGTCTGTGGACTAAGACCTCTGAAACTGTGAGCCCCCAAATAAACTTTTCCTTCTTAAATTGTTCTCGTCAGGTCTTTTAGTCACAGCAGTGAAAAAGCTGACTAAAATAGACACTCAACCACTGAGTTATACTATAGACCTTTTTATTTTTTATTTTGAAACATAGTGTCACTAAATCAAAGCTGGTCTGGAATTCACAATGCTCCTGCCTCAGGCTCTTGAGTAGCGGTTATTACAGGAGTGTGCCACCATACCTAGCATCATTGTATTTTTACAAATTTCCTTGAGACTTTCTTTTTGATCCCTATATTATATGTGTGTTTAGTTTTCAGGCATTTGGAGATTTTCATTCCCTTTCCATTGTTAATTTCTTGGAAAACACTGTGGTTGTAGGACACACTCCATATGAATTCTTTGAAATTTATTAAGGTTTATTTTACATCCCAGGATATGGTCTCTGTGGGTGCTTACAGGTAATTCTGCTGTTGTTGGAGGGAGTATTTTATAAATGTTGATTATATCCTTTGGTTGATAATGTTGTTGAGTTCTGTATCTTTGCTGATTTTCGGCTTA